GATTAAATAATTATAATTGTTAGTGTATAATGTTTAATTCTTAGGACTTTGCTACATCCTCAATGTCAACTGAAAGCACTGATAATGATCTTGTATCTAGAAGACATTGGAATGCAAAGTATAATATTAAATTTTAATTGCAGGTACTGTGACTAACAATTCTTCTAGGATGCATTCATACATCTTCTTCAACAAAAACAGAACTTCTATTACTCATGTTGGTCTTAAGTTTGAAAAAAAGGGTTCTCGAATTGTTCTTCAAGATACATATACTCAAAAAGAAATTAAAGTTGACATAACTCCTGAAATGTTTGAATTTCTCACTAAATCTGTAAAGATTCCTTTTCAAAATACTAGGTAATTTATGTGACCAATATGGAGGAAACTTTATGATAAATTTTACAGTGATTGCCCTGAAAATGAACTAATTGAAAGATTATTGGAATTTATGAACATTAAAACTGATAAAATTATATCTCCAGATGAAACCTTTGTTCTTACTCAAGACAATCTAACAAAAATAATGGCTATTCAGACACGATTCAGGTTTCAGCCAGTTTAAAATTATAATGTTTGATTTGATTTTTCAGATGCCAGATACCAGTTGTATTAATGGGTGAGACAGGATGTGGTAAAACTCACTTGATTCGTTTTATGTGTAAATTTGCCACATACAATGAATCATTAAAGAATATGTTCATCCTTAAAGTAAAAAATAATTTTAAAACTTTGGACAAATATTATTTAATTATAGGTTCATGGTGGAACGACAGAGGAAGATGTTATTCATTGTATCAATGAAGCAGAAGTTGCTGCATTGGAAAATACGAAACATAATATTGATACTGTAGTGTTCTTTGATGAAGCTAATACTAGTGATGTCATTAGTCTTATAAAAGAAATTATGTGTGATGGGAGATGCAGAGGAAAACTGGTTCCTCCCTTTTTAAAGTTAGTAGCTGCTTGTAATCCATATCGAAGGTAATTGCTCCTTCTTGCAGTTCTATTTTTATGAATTATAATTATAGGCATTCTAATGAGATGATCAAAAAAATAAGAGGAGCTAAATTAGGATGGCTAGCATATGAAGAAGCAATGAACGATGCAGATAAATCAAGTATAAGATTAATACAAATGCAAATACTGCTACTTATATCATTAAACAGGAGAAGTACCATTAAGAGATTTAGTGTATCAAGTATTAGAATTACCTGACAGTATGAAAGCATTGATTTTTGATTTTGGGAAATTAAAATATGAAACTGAAAGAGATTATACTTTGCAACTGACATGGAATAAGGTATAAATCAAATAAACTTCAATTTTTATGTGTTTTTTAGCTTTCAAATAAGACTAACATCTCCCATGATTGTGTACTTGCTATTGGTGAAGTATTAGCAGATTGTCAAAATTTTTCCAAACAAATGAAAGTAAATATCAATTGTGTGATTTACAATAATTATTACTATCTAATAGAATGAATGTAGTTTTGTGAGTTTACGTGATGTTGATCGAGCTCTTGTATTGTTTATATACTTTTTGGAGGTATTTACTGATGTATTCCAAGTATGTAAACTTGTGAGTATACTTTAAGCCATGCAATGATTAATTTAGATTGAAAAACACAATAATGTGGACAAAATCACTAAATCTTTATTACTAGCACTAAGCGTAGCATATTTGGCACGAATGGCTTCACGTAACGAATTTATAACTAAAGTTTTAAGGTGCATCAAGCCACCACTTCATCCTGTTGATTTAATAGAGTATCAAATAATAGTAAAAAAGTAAGTTTATTGTGTTAGAATACTTTGATAAGTATTTCTGAAAGGTATCAAGAAAAACTATTAGATTGTATCGACACTGAAAATGGTATAGCTAAAAATGCTGCTCTAAGAGAGAATATATTTATGATGTTTGTGTGCATTGAGTTGCGCATTCCACTGTTTCTGGTTGGGAAACCTGGAAGCTCTAAATCATTAGCTAAAGCAGTCATTGAGAATTCATTAAGAGGAAAAAATTCTAAGAAGGCAACTATGAGACAATTCAAACAAGTTTGTGTTATTATAGTGGTTATTATTTTATTATTATTTCATAATAGATCCATCTTCATTCCGACCAATGCAGTGCTTTTTCAACTCCTGCTAGTATTACTGAAGTATTCATGAGTGCCAAAAACTTCCAGGAAAAAAGAGATACAAGGACATTTGTATCAGTAGTTGCACTGGATATTTTTGCTGAAGCATCACCTTACCTCCCATTAAAGGCATTACATCCATTTCTTGAAGATGGAACAGATGGATCTGGAAGTGATGATCAAGTAACAAATTTTTCTCTCTATGTTTATTATATGCATCAAAATACTTTAGCGCATTGCCAGAGAAAAAAGAGTGGCATTTATTGGTATATCAAATTCGGCTCTTGACCCTGCCAAAATGAACAGAGGAATCATGGTAACACGTACTGAGCCTAGCATTCAAGATCTTAAAAACAGTGCCATGTACAAAAATAATTATGAATTGCTTAAAAGTTTACTATTATTTTAGTGGCATATGCTCTGATAAAGGAAACAATAATCCAGTACTTGAAAGACTAAGGACTTACTTTACTGAACTTGCAAGTGCATATAAAAGCATATGTGATCTTCAAAAAAGGGAATTCTTTGGACTTCGAGACTTTTACAGGTAATACAATTTGTTATTTATTAAAAATTTATACAAAAGTACTCTTCAGTCTTATTAAAATGCTCTACTGGATGAGTGAAGAGACTGGTTCTATACTGACAAGACCACAACTTGAACATGCTGTGAGACGTAACTTTAGTGGCTTTGATGAGTTTGATGCTGTTGCTAAATTTCAACTGCAGGAGCTAAAAGTAGTAAAATATAATACATTGCTACCAATTTCTTATTTTGTAGAATAATGAATTGAAAATTGTACAAAATTTTCCGTGTCAGTTTGTGAGTTAATTATTATTATTTTATACCTGATAATCCTTTAATAATAGAAACAATTCAAAAATAAAGATGTTGTAGTACTACAATGTTTTTCAACTGGACAATTTGTGTCTATTAATGAAAATGATAAGGTTATATTTACAACCAGTTACTTAAGAAATGGTACATATGCTAAAATGATTTCTGCAATGACTATATATTTGTTTCAGCTCAGTTCATTATTCACATAAAAAGCAAGGGTAAGTTTTCATTGCAGAGTATTTGCAAAAACTCTTTGTGGCTTAAAGTAGTGGCATCAAACTTGGTATGATCTCTTTATAATAATCACTTCATTTAAACTGTTATATATAGGTCACAAATTTATGTGAATGTGAACTTCAACTGATACCAACACAAGGTGTCTAGTATACTTTTATTGGTTTGGATAAATTGTTTTTTTTGTTAGACAAAAAGGCTACTTTGATATGTTCCTACCAGCAGAAATTGAGTTACGAGCAACGGAGTAGCTTCACTCAGTATCACCTGATTGCTCCAGTAATGATGACAACACTTCTCTTTGTTTATAAAATATTTTAGAATGATCCCATTACAAATCCTGATTACTCTTCTCTTGGTTTAATCAGTGCAAGCTTATTGAACAAAGCAAGAAGTTATTATGGGTATAAAAATTTGATGATAGATATTTTTTAAACCAAAATTTTGTACTTTAACAATAGAGAAAGTCGTTATCTATTATTTTTGACTCAACACTATTCTTCACTTCAAGTTTTAAAGCATTATATTGTGAAAAAGTGCTTGCAGGATTTCAAAGCCTCACAGTCCTCACCAGAAGGCAGTAGTCAACAAGCTGAGCCATTTGTTTTGTTTGGTAGCAGCTTTCCCAAAGACAAAGAGTTTGCTCAGGTATAAAATGGAAATTTTTTGTTCTAACTAAAAATACACTATTATAGGTTTGCAGAAACATTAGTGAAATTAGGCTGTGTATGAAAAATGGTCGTATGGTCATACTTCTGAACTTGGAAAATTTGTATGAGAGCTTGTATGATGTCCTTAATCAAGTAAATAGTTAAATCTTAGTGGCCTAATGTCAATGCTAACTACATTTTTAGTATTACATCAAAAGTGGAGGACACAGATATGTTGACTTAGGTCTCAGAAGTAACAGAACGAAATGTACTGTTCACCCCAACTTTAAGTAGGTTCATTTTTTGCTCTACATTAGTTGTTTTTAATTTTTTGATTGTCCAAACAGGCTAGTATTAATTGCAGAGAGGGAACGAGTATATCAAGAATTCCCAACTCCTCTTATTAATAGACTTGAAAAGCATTTTGTTGATGCTACAACAGTGTTACAACCATGGCAGAAAGATGTTTGTAATCAGTTAGACACCTGGATCGAAACCTTTCTTACTGAAAAGTACTGTCATGCAAAAATGGGTCCCATCAAAAAAAGATCCCCCCAGATCAAATTTGGCTGCCAAAACCTGTCCTCGGACAGGTTTTGGCTGCCAAATTTGATCCTACTAGGACTATTTTGGGCTGCTAAAACTAGTCCCTACCTGCCAAAAGAAGTCCTATGGGGGGAACATAAATGGCAAACCATAGTATGTCCCCCTGGACTACATTTTGTCTGCCAAAAGTGGTCCTATCAAATTTGAAAGCCAACAATTGGTTGGTTCACAAGACTGTAATGGCTC